CTGTAATTGCCCACTGCAGAATTTCTGTAGCTCTTCCCAAATAATCTAATTCTGGTCATCACCAGTGATCTTGTAGCCTGAACCCATTTTCTTGCTCACCTATTTCTCTTTGTTGTATTCACAACCTGCTTGCCTTTTTTTTTTTTTTGTTCTGCTGACATGCAGGTTCACTTTTCAAATTTCATTTGAAAGTATTCCGAAATGCAGACTTCCTTATCTCATTACTCTTAATATCAGATACAAATACATGATTTAGTCTGGAGCAATACTAGTCAAAGGAGTAATTTCCCTCATAATTTATTCATGGCCTTCTCAAAGTGGGGCTGTAGTAATTAACTAATGGGTCAGAATATTCTGATATATGTATCATATTTTAAAGGGTTACTCTTGCTGGTTTTACTTCTGACTTCATTTTTTTCCTTAATCCAAATTTTCAGGAGCTGTAAATATTTCTTAATTATGATGGTGTTCCCTCCTCAGTCTCTGCTGTTCACTTTGACTCACCAGCGATCATAGCACAAACTGAACATGATTTAGCATTATCAAGACAAAACCAGAATATGGAAACCCTGTGAGTTCTCCCCAAAGTTCAGTAAATTCCAGAAAAACCTGATCAATATTTGAAGTGGTCTCCAAAACAAAACTGTGGTTCTTCTTTAAGGTACATTAATACTGGACAGACTTGCAAAAATGGTTAGTGATGCTCTTCTCTTTTATGTGCCTGTGATTTTACTGGGCAGCTTGAATAACAGAGCAGCAGCTTGCCCCATCTCTCTATTCTGCCAGGCTGGAGTTAAAAGTGCTGGCTACAGGATGACATATCCTAGAGAAAGGGAAAGAAAGGTGGGATTTGTGGCAGCTCCACAGATCCCTGACAAAAGAGGAAATAGGAGGAAACGTGGGAGGAATGAGCAGTGAGTGATATCCACGTTCTGGCATGGCTAGGAAGGGGGAAAGGGCACGTCCACAGGGACCCTGGAGCTGAGCAGAACCGAAAGCACAAACAGCTTTAAACACGGATGAGAGAAGACAACTTGAGAAGAGAAAAAACAACAGCTCAGACACAGCCTCGAGCAGCCCTGGCTCCAGGAACACAAGGGTGTGCTCCTGGGGTTTGGGCAATGTGCCACTGCCCTGCCCCATGGTCTCAGTGTTACTGAGGCTGTGAACACCACCAGGGCACCACACAAAAAGCTCTGCTGTAGGGCCCCTCAGCATAGAACAGTTCTCTCACGGCGAATGCAAAAATTTTACTCACTCCCACAAGTTTGGGGAAGCGTGTAAAATTTACACACTTAAAAACACAACTGTAGTAAATTTACACACTTAAAATTTTAGTCTTACAAAACTAGTAAGCCCTATTTCCCTCTCCAAATTCAGCTTTCAGAAAGCCAAACGTCATGTGCTGCATCAGTGGGGTCCCATTTCTTCATTTAAAAAACAGAATAAAAATTATGGGTTGCCAGTGTGAGCCTTGGAGGCACTCCTGAGGTTTTCCTGCCATGGCTACCATGCTGAACGTTGCTGCAGTTGATATTCATTACTTCCTTATTTAACCTGAGAAATAATTAGCTATCATATGTCCTTCCATGGACACATCCAGAATGGAATCATAATGTAGTCCATAAATAAAAATAGCAATAGTTCACCAGCATGATAGTTTGACATTCTACAAATGAAGAGAAAAGGACAAACAACCTAAAAAGGTTTTTTGATTATTTTTAAACTGTAACTAATTACATGTGTAAATAGATTAGCAGCAGCAACAGCTCTGGACAAGCAATTAGACAGCTAATTATAGGGAAAATGCAACTGAAGGCTCCAACAGATGACCACCCGTCTGCTCCACGTCCCAGGTGTTCAAGAACTCTCAGGTTTGTTTAGCTTTATAAAAAACATCTATTCATCTAACTCGGACACAGCCATGAAATGCAATATACAGAAGTAAAAGAGAAGCTCAGCTCTCTCAGTTTCCTTTTCCTTTGTCCTGCCACTGCTGTCAGCCCAAGGAACAGCTCTTGTACCCACCAAACATTACTGAGAGAAACTAACACCTGAGTTTTGCTCCCTTTCTCCCATTATAAAACCACTTTCCTGTTGGAAAAAAAATGGTATGATCCTTTACATGGGAACAGGCCATTTTTTTCCTGGATTACTGCAGTTCTTTTAAGATCTGCTGGGTTTCCTCACTAAATACAATATTTGAGAAGGGATGTTTTGCAGTAATTTATTCCCTCAGGAGAAGTTTACAGCAACTAAACTAATTAGGCATGAGTCTAAGTAAACATGAAAATGCTGATATGCTTCCAAGCGCCTGCTCCTACTTAATTATGTTTTGTTTTATATTTATCTCTCAGCCTGTATGAAAGTCTCCCATGTGACAGGAGCACTTCATTTCCTTCCCGCGTTCAATGCCACCTTCCACAGCTCCTGTCCCACTTAGGAGGGGAGAGGCTGCCCCAGTCTGTGCCCAGCACACAGAGACAAGAGGATGTGGACTGAGAGCTGTCCGATAATGGCTGTGCAGCTGCTCCCGGCCCAGCTCTGTCTCGATCACCCCAAGAGCTGAAGCACTCCTGGTGGTGGGGTTATGTGACACAGCTCAGGTCAGCACAGCCGGCCTAAGGAGAGCCCCCAAACGCAGCTACACGGCCAGACCTGAGAGGCTGATTCCAGGGAAGGGGTGGCCAAGAGCCGAGGATGAGGTGTGGAGCAGCAGCAGGAAAGCTTTACCAGCAGGTACAGGATCCCAAATGGCAGCCTGGCAGCAGCGGCACTGCGCTCTGCAGCCCGACACCCCAGAGAGGCGCTCTGGCCATCGCTGGCTCCTTGGCAAAGCCCCTGGGCGAACAGCAGAGCCCGCCGGCCGCGTTTCCCTCCCTCAGAAGGGCAGGAGAGACACGGGCACGGCACAGACAGGGGAGGAAGCCGCTGGAGCCACACGGGAGAGGCTCACGGAGCTCCCTCTGGGACACGGCGGGCTCAGCGGGAGCGGCAGAAGCGAGGAACAGCTTGGAATCGCCCCAGAGCGGCTCCAGGGAGCTTTCCAAGGCACCACCCCCGGCCTAAGGGCTGGAGTCAGAATGGAAAAGCTCGGCCGGGATGGTGGGAAGGAGCAGCTCTCGCTCGAGTGGAACAGGGCAGAGCTGACAAAGGCATTCCCACAATAACCAGGAATGTTCTTTCCTGCCTCTGCTGTGCCAGCTCAGCGCATCTGCCCAGGGCCCTCCGTCCTCCCTCAGCTTTAGGAACACCTTCCCACCTCCTCCAGGGGCCGAGAAATCCTCCCAGCGCCGCTGAGAATTCCTCCCTCCCTCCCTCTTCTCCCTGGCTCTCCCAGCAGCTCCCGGCCAGCGCCTCAGGAGCTCGGGGGCTCCTGGTTCCTGCAGACACCTCCAGACCTGGCTGTATCCCATGGCTCTGGAACAACATCCAGAACTACCTCCACAATTCTTATTCCATTTTAAGAAAATGCCACAGAGTTCTCTGCATCAACAAGTGAAACCGGAATTCTGTAACTCAGAAATCCCAGCTCTGCTAGCTCACATTTTTTAGAGTTTTACAGACAAACAGAAAAGCATCACTTTAGCTGAATACCTCTAAAGATCTCTTTTATAAAGATATATAACACCAAGTCAAGAAATGCAGCAGCAAAAGAAAATAATGAATTTTTGTTGGTTATTTTCCTTTCAATTGTATTAAAAAGCCCACAAAGGTGTTCCTGAGGACTTGAAAACAGTGGATTTCTTACCTAAAAGATGTGCAGAGTCACAAATTAAGTGCCTTCCTCCTTTTCAAAGTCCTCCGTGATACTTGGATTCTTTGACAGGTTTCCAGTTCATTTTAAAAATAACTCCTTACCTGTGTTCACCTCTTTTTGCCAATTATTAGCTGGCACTAATTACAGGTCCCACTGTAGATAACCTTAAATCCCAAAGGATTTAAGATTTCACTCAGTGAGTATAATTTCTTTAGGGGAAAATTATCTCTCCTTTTTTCTACCTTCTTGTCATGTTCTCAGAACAACACCCAAATACCAATTCCATTTTCATAAGTGAATGACCTCTTTTTCCAGCCTGTGATTCTCAGCCTTGCCACGAGAGATGGTGGCTCACAACCACTGGCTCTCAGCAGGCACCACTGTTTGTAAAACACTGACATACTAAAGGCAGAGCAAGAGTTTACACAATAAAGCTTAATTTAAAATTTCCCTTCTTAAAAATCTAAATGTTATCTGGAAACAGCTGGTTTAAAGATTAACGTCAGTTCTGGAAAAATAAAAAGATCTCTTGATATTTTCAACAAGAGAATGCTATTTCTTAGTCTGGCTCTCTTAAATTGTAGTTTATATTGGCTGTTTATTGCAGATTTAGGGCTGGGAGGCAATTTGGTAATTAAAGCCTGAGATATTTTCTAGCTACCCAGGATCTGAAGTTCACAAGTTACCATCAGCTTCAGCTCCCCTCAAACCCCCACATACCAAATAGGAGAATTACAATAATAATACTGAAACTTTCATAAAAGCTTTTTTCCTACTGCAAAATAGTCATCATATAGATCACACAAAGCCATCAGAATTATTACAAACCAGAAAAATTCCAACAAGCTTTTGAAGTTTGTGCATTTTTACAATTGCTTCTTTTCTCAGCTGTTGCCCATCTATAACTAACAGCTCTAAAAATATCTTTAAAAACGTAGCACATACCCGGTCATGCTGTCACAGGCCCAGCTCCAGCAGGAGGCAGAGGATGAGGATGAGGAACTCTGGGCTGGGACATTATTGGTCCTTTGCACCTTCACACTTTGTGTCTGTCCAAAGCACTTTGATCCAAAGCATTGTGATCAGTTTCCCAGTCACATTTCAGTGACAAATATAAATAAAATAACAAAACCTACAAAGTCCATGGCATTTCAGGAACAGTCCTTGGCCGGGACTCTCGCCTTCCCCCTCACACACACATTGTGTCTGTTTAATGCTTGCTGATGATTCAGGCAGAAAGCACTGAGTCAATTCACATTTAATGACTTCTTTAAGGGTAGTTTTACCACTTCTTGAACTATAAACTCAACTATACATGTTTTTTTCTCCACACTCCACGAGGAAATTTCTGCTCTGGAGCCGGACTGTAACACGTCCCGCAGCTGACGAGGCTGCGGCAATGGCGGCAATCCTGAGGCGGCGCCAGTCGGCCTCACTCATGGTTTAAGGAGCAGCCGAGGTTTTCACAGAAGCCTGGGACCCCCAGCCCCACAGCAATGAGGTTTTCCAGGGAGCAGCCTGGGAGCAGCCGAGGTTTTCACAGAAGCCTGGGACCCCCAGCCCCACAGCAATGAGGTTTTCCAGGGAGCAGCCTGGGAGCAGCGCTGCCAGGGACGGCAGCTCCCGCAGGCGGATCCATTTTCATACCGACACCGGAGGCGCTTCTGCCCTCACGGCTGAGGCGGCTCTGACCCGGCCCGAGGGTTTCAATTCTTCCCAGCCACACCAGCTCCCACCGCCTCGGAACCCAAGCTTCCAGCAAGCAGCACTGAAATAGGATGGAGTTTTTGAAACTTGCTCCATCGAGACCAGCAAGTTTTTGGTGGAAAACACGAGATAATGAGCAGCATCACAGATCCACTTCTGCCTATCGGGGTGAGCCCTCAGCAGCGCCCGTCAGGCCTCAGAGCCACCCAGCCCCTCAAATTGCAGAACCAGCTCTTTTTATGGCCCTGAAACGAGTTTTTAAAAGTTCTTTTTCTCCAAAACTTGGCATTTTATAAATCATCCCCGAGTCTGAAGTAGACGGCAGTATGTGTAGGCCTTCCATATACCAGCATTTGCTCACTGTGTTTGGACTGACACTTTCAGTGGTTTTTTTCTTTTTTTCTTTAAAAAAAAAATCCTAATTAAAAGTCCCACAGAGAAGCTGTCAAGTTAAATTTATGACAAAGGTAGCTGCTTCTGCAGGTCGGTTTTCAAATCCATGGCTTGAAATGTGACTGACAGAGTGACACACGCTGACAAGAAAAGAGCTCCTTTGGAAGAACTTTTAAAAATCAGTATTTTTATAATTGATCTGAAGTTCGGGAAATGGGAAGACAAAGACACTTTGCTGGTTTTCCATGCTTTTAGAGGCCGTGTTTCAGAAAATTAGTTCCTCAGGAAAATGTCTCCTAAGGGCAGCATTTAAGGATAAGTTTAAGTCCCACAGAGATTTCAGCAACACTGAAGGCTGAGTACAGATTTAAATGCTGCTAAAAGGGTTGATTTTTCTGGCAGGCTTTCAGAATCCACTGAAGAGAATATGTATTTAAAAAGGGCTTCACACCCCTAAGCTGTGCCAGTGTTGCCAGCAATAATAAAGTGCTGGTATGCAGGCATTTTTGAACCACAAAGTTCCAAAATTTCTTCTTAGCTGAAATTTGCTTTTTTCTTTTTTCTTGTTTTTTTTTGTCTGAAATCTTCTTTCCAGTACTCATTTTAACTGAAGTTAGTAGATTAGCATATTTTATCAGCTGCTGGAGTTCCACCTTTGACTGTAATTAAGTTCAGGTCAGGTCCTGAAAAAAAAGGACAGGCTGTTTCAATAAATGTATTTAAAAAGTTTTCATGTTTTAAAAGTAGTCTATAATGATGATTTAAATGTATATTCAACCACTTTTTTGTATAATTATTCTGAACAGAAAATCTGGCTTTCCTTGTTTTCAAGAGAAATCACTGAGTCCGAAGAATTGTCTTAAAGAAATCAGAGCTGCTCTTTAAACAATGTCTTTGCATTTAGCAATTGGTTTATTGTATTTTTTTTTCTTCTGCATTTCTTTAAATACTGACTGAAAATCCACTTCTACTTCCAAAGCTTCTATTTTCAGAATTTTCCTTAACTTTAATCAACACATATGTTTTCTCCAAAGCCTTTCAGAAAACTCCATAGCAATCAGAATTTTAATTCTAAATGAAAAAAAACCAAACCAAAACCAGGTATGTAGAAAATGGTAGGATAGATGAAGGAAGAAAATAAACCCTGACAAAATGCAGGTTCTTTTTACTGTTACTTTAACATGGTAAGAAGTTTTTACTTTTCCCAGTGACCCAAGGAAAGGTCTCAGGACCGCTGGATCCTCAAGCACAACCTGGTGCTGCTGGAGAATTGTTTTTAAATCCTACTGCTAAATGTGTTCAACAGATGTGACTGATGCAGCAAGGTGCACAGTGAACTCTTTTGATAGTGTAACAGCAGGGAAAAAAAACCAGAGGAATGGTAGCAACAAAAGCTTACAAAAGCCCATGGATCACTGAGAATGGTGATCATCTTGGCCTTGGGGGCAAGAGGATGTGCTCATTTGGGAGCTTTCCCAGAATAGAAATAATTGGCTCTTCTCTCAAAGACTAGATGCCTTGTTCCATCGACTGGAATGGTGAAATGTTCCAGGTACCTGGACAAGTGTGGAAGAGAAATATGGGTTAAAAAGTGGAGCTATTCTAATCCCCAAACTATTAACTATAAATATTTCTATTTATTGTACGTAGGTTGTATCTCCAGGTTATATTTATATGCCTGTAAATGGTGAACATAACTGAAATCAGATGTAAGATATAAAACCACGAGGGCTGTGTTTATAGATAAAGCTTCAGTCAAATCTAAGTTGCTGGTGTTGTGACTATTTTATAGCAGAGTAAGGTGAAAAGCAGATATCTGGGTTTCCACTTCAGTCTGTGCTTCCTCCCAGAAGAGCCCAGAGTAACCAATTTATTTATCAGAGCAAAAAGTACCTGAAATTTTACTGTTTCCTTCGTATTGATTCCTGCTCACTGATGAGCTTTATAGGGCCCTGATTTACCTCACATTCAGTTAATATCATCAGTTCATTTATGGCCTACACCCAGGGTAGTTTATAACTTCACATATGGATAGTGACAGAAGCACTGATAAAATGAGATATTTATGAAGCTTAAGAACTAATTATTGGAGACTGGGCTGGCTGAAAGATGCCTTTTATCTGCAGGGTATTGCAGATAGACAAGTCTCATCTGTTAAGCTTCAAAACTCAAGCTAGGGGTTCCAAGCACAAACTAAGTTTGGTTTTCCCACACCAAAAAAAAAAAGAAATATAGGTGCATGAAGGCCTGTTGTTCCTAAGAAGTAAAAAGCATCTTTGGATGCTGCAGTGGTCTGCTTTGTTTATTTAAGAATTCCTTCTTCCTGCTTGACTTGTGACAAGAAATTGCTGTTAAGGCAGTTCCTTTGATTGAAATTCTCAAGCTAATCCCAGCTCCATTTTGTCTAATGTTTGTCATGAAATAAACACTACTGGTATCTGAAACAGAGCCATGAACAGCTGTGCTAATTATATTAAACCAGCACCTTTATTTAAGCACCCTTTTTAGCATTATTAGCTAAACAGTAAATTGAGTATTTACACAACATTAAAAAAAAACAAACTGCAGATTACACATATCTCAAAAAAATCTGCACCAATCTGGAAACCATTACAACCTATCAACTGTGTAGTTGATAAAAAATGAAGTTAAGGTGGTGTAAGTTCCTGACAAATGTTCTCTCTCTAGCACCTTTTCCAAAATGGGCAAGAGTTACATGAAACCAAAGGGATTTGCAGTGTTCCTGATAGAATTTGTAATCCTCAAACTCCAAAATACAGAGGGTGGAGATAGCACATAAACGTGGCCTCAAGCATCTTGTATCCATGGATTTTCCCAGCTGTGAAGAATGGGTCACTAGGAACCAGCACCTTTTGAAATTAAAAACAAAAAAGGCAAAACAAACCAGCCTACACAAACAAGGACAGCAAGTTTGTCTTTTTTTTCCTTGAATGTAAGTGTCCTGACAGTCATGAAAGTAAATCTGTGGTCTGAGCAGACCATCTGTGTCAAAGTTTTACTCCTAATTAACATGGATAAGATCTTAAATTTCTAATTTTTATTTTCATTATTTATTTTATTTTCATTATTTATTTTCATATCTCATTTACAGGAGTGGAATATTTTAATCTTGGAAATATTGAATTGGGTGTTGAATATCATACATTATTCTAAGGGAGGCTTTATCAGAACATAAGTTTTAGAGTAAATTTGGCTTGTTCTTATCAAAACATGCACGCTGTTGAAGAAATTCCTCCTCCAGTAATCTAAAAAAGGCTGCTAACTTTGTATCTCCATGTCTTTGGCACACCTTCTGTAAAAAGGGGGTAAAAATGCTTCCCAGGGGCTGCTCTGGTGTCAGCTAATCAGACACATGAGGCACATTTACATAAGTGGTTTCCATGATGTGATGATAATAAGGGAAATCATGGATTATAATGCATTTCATTTCACTATTGTTCATTTTATTGAGTCCCAGTTAATGGATTTATTTCTCTTCACGTGTGTTATCTTAGTACTTCACAATACAGTATGGGCTCTGGATTTAATTAATAATTTAATTAATATTCCCTCTTCACAGGATTGTTAAGAAAAATATAAATACAAGATCTAGGAGCTGATCATGAGATACCAGAATGAGGCCACTTCCTGAGTAAAGCATTCCTCGTTGCCTTTTGTTTCATTCTTTTGCTCACTTAATTAGTTTCATTCCCTTTTGTGCATTTCAACCCACTGTAAAATTACTGTACACTTATGATATTTTCTACAGAATAAATTAATATCACCAAAATCCAAGTGGGGATAAATTAAGTATGCCCTCGAACAGCTAGTATCAGCTATTTCCTAATTTTTGAGGCACTGACTGCTGATATGGGTTTAATTGAATCCATTTGGATAATATGTACATTCTTGTACATAGACATGCTTTTCTGAATTATCTTAATATGTGTTATACCAACTTATGACTATGTCTACAGGGAAAATAAATTACTAAAGTTGGTATTTAATAATTAATCAGATATTAATCACAGTTTTTTTGTGTTTCCAGCCAACTCAGGCATTAATGTTTTTTCAATATTTACCAAGAAATGATGTTTTTATATAGAAATAAATTTTTCCAGTAGATGGAAGTGTTGAAAATGCATACAGACAAAAGGCCTTTATTGCTCACCATTCTACTCAGTAATTCTCTCTTCATTTTTGCATTGCAAAATATCTCTTGGCTTGATGAGCACTATATATATATATATATATAAACCTCTCAGTGTTGTTAGCACTAAGTACCTCATCTACTGGTGCTTGTGTGCTACACAAAAAGCAGCATTGTAAAAGCTGGAAATAACCTTCCAATTGTTTCAAACATTCATTAATCACTTTGTTTAATATTGTTATTTGTACTTGATACAAGACCAGCCAAGACCCAGTGCACAGCCAAGAACCAGAGAAAGATGGATGCCCGTGATAAATATTAACCAACACATTTTTAGGCTATAAACTCATTTTGTAGCCTTCTTTTCCTGAAGGATTTATTCTCTAACTTAGGAACTCTATACATCCTGTCCCATAATGGTTCTCCTTTCAGACAGCTGTTGTCTCACCTCATGATATCTCTTCCCAAGCTTCTTCCTGAATCTCATCCAGGACAATGCCCATAATGACATCAGTATTTCAGAAGATTTTGCAAGTTCTCTGAAACAGCTAATTAATCTCGGTTTTTTTTTTTTCCCCTGAAAATTTCAGCAGCATACAAAATCATGTGGTGAGCTAGGGATCACAGTGAAAACAGATGTCATGTCTGGAGCTGACCTTTTTGGTAAATAAATTACAGGGAAACAGCCACCCTTCCAAGGCTGGTGGCATTACCCTGCTGTTCCCATATGCCCCTATCAGCTTTTTGCACAGTAAAAATGGAAAAGCAGCAAGAATACAAAGGTTTTGGGTTTTTTTTTCAATAGGATTTTTCAACACACAGGATTTTCAACCTGAGTTTTCATTTTGCTTTGCCCCTTTCTGTTTACATCTTTCTTTCTGCATTTGGAATTCTCACATTTTAGCTTCTATCTGAATTCTCCAAAAGCTTTCCAGAGGATACCAAGAAAGTTAAAACTGAATTCTTTTTTTCTAAGTGTCTGAATGATTTCTGTTCCCAAACCTTAGCACCATTAGAGAGCAATTTTGTTCATAAACAAAAAGCTTTTTTTCCTAAATAGGTGGGATCAACCAAAAACTATGTTACCTTGTCTACATGTTACCTTCATTGCTTCTCAGTACAACATTAAGTAAATTTTCCTGAAGCTTGTAATTAGAGAATTTAATAAAATTTAATAGAATTCTGCATAGAAAATTCAAAAATGTTTATATAATAAAATGAATTCAGAAGTATCTAATGCTATCTAATGCTTTTTAGGTTCCTAAATGAGACACTTGTTTTGGAGTTTCTCAATAAGATGAAATACACGTCTCTGTCACGCCCAGACTTCAAGCAGACAGGAGATTTGCTCATTTGGATTTTTCTCATCACATTTGGAAGGATATGCTCTGGTGAAAATGAATGAGGTTTAAGATCCCAAGCCAGTTCTTGTTTGAAGGTCACTGCCCACATTTATCACCTCTTAAAGGCCTTCCCAGAATCCATAGAAGAAAAGCTTTTCTAGATGTTTGCTGAGAAGAATAGAGTAAATTATAACTTGGTACAAGTCAGCAGCTTCCCAGATGGTTTATCATAATATTTAAATCATTGCAGCAAGCCTCTCCTTCCCCTCAGGAGGAAAAACAATCAAATGGAATAGAATGAAGAACTTAAGTGTATGTTGAAAATGACTTTTTGTTTTTGGTGAGATTTTACTAAGAAACAAACATTTAACTTGACTCATAACTGGGGAACTTGCTGAAGTGTGCTATTAATCATCTTCTCCTGGTAAGATTGCTTTCCTCAAGTACTGCCTCAGGACCACAAATCCCTTAGACAAAACACTGCAAGTGCAAAAGAACTGCTCCAAATGGATCATTCAAATAAATATCCAGCTTGAGAGCTAAACTTGAAAGCTCACTTATATCCTGTAAATAAATACATTTTCAGATGTAACAGAGGTGGTCTTTCAAACGAGAGGTGCGTGCATAAAGCGATAATTGCAGAGCATTGAACTCTAATATGCTTTGTGAAGTCAAAGCCTAACAAGTTATCAAGAGACTGGAGCTTCCTGTTCTCTACCCCATGAGCCCAGAGGAATGAGATGCATTCAGTTTACTTTATTAAGAAAGGTTATTAAACCAATCAATCCAGGGACTAGGACTTTGATGTATCAAAACCAAGCATTGGTCCTGCATGTTGTAACCTGCTGTATGTCCTTTAAATTAACCTTTAAATCACAGAAGTACCCTATCTTGAATCTGGTCTCCAGAGCACAGCTGTATGAAAGAGTCAGGGTAGTTTTTAAGTAAAACCTGCACAAAAGGAAAAATAGATGGTAACCAACTGGATTTTGGCACAGGCAACTTTCTCTCCATCGAGTTTCCTCAGAAGAATCACAGTGGAGCACAAAAGGATGCATCACAAACTCCCAGCACATTGACTGATTGGAAACTACATTTTGAAAGACTGGCCACTATATCCACTCAACTTTTCTTACTCCTACCTGGACTTCTTTAATTTCCTTAGGGTTTTTTTTTAGAAGAATGATGATAGTCTTCAGAGAGAGCAGACTACAAAGGTGTGTGAAAGGAGTAGGGCTACAATAAATCCTGAGGAGAAATTTTCTGTGCAAGAGCACTAAGCAATAGGACATGAAAGACGGGCAGCTTCTCAGATGCTGCACAAAGCTGGAACTATTTAGACCAGACAAAACACTCACAAAAATGGATCAGATGAGAAGTAGCAAGGTCAGAGATAATACAGATGCAAGAACATGGTTATTAAGATTTGCACTCTGGATCGCTGGCAAAGAATAACTTTGACTTGAGTCAGTGCCCATTCATTAATTTAGAAATCTCACAGTTGTTATCAAGAGTATCAAGTCTGTCCATGTGACACAGGGACACGCTGTCACCCAGACCAGCTGTGCTGTGGGTCTCAGTTCATGGGTTTGCCTTTGTGGGAAGCGGGGCCCCTGTGCTGGAGCTGCCTGGGCTGTGTCTCTGTGGGTATCCTGGGACAGTCACTCTGTGCTCTTCAGCAGGAGGGTTCAACAGAGCTTTAGCAGGGCTCCCCCACCACGTAAATCACCAAAAGAAATCATCTTCCCTAGGTGATACCTGCTTGGACATAACCCTTCTCATACTGCCAGCCCTTGTGCAAGGCAGCGCAGTTCTGCCCACTCGCAAAGCACGTCTGAGCCTCGTGCTGCTGCAGCAAAGCAGACTGAGCCTATTGATTACATACCTATTTATGTTATGAAGGTGCAAAGCCATTTTTTAAAAAAGGAAATCCTATTTCTCTGTGGGAAAAGAAAAAAAAATCCTTTTAATATGTTTTAACCTAAATAAAATGGCCAGTTTGAGAAAAATTAAGTAATATGTCTAATGAAATCATGACATGCAATTTTAAGCTACAGTGAGCTGAGTAAAATGTGACATAGGAGCCTGCATTTTTTATTAGAGTTCATTAATCTTGTTAATGACTTATTGAATATCATTGTAAAAATTGATCCCAGTGGCTACATTGTTGTCTGCTTTAGCAACCTCATCCAGCAGCCACGCTGAACTGCCAGAGTATTTCTCCAGTCCATTCTCTGCAGCTTTGCAGGGAGCACTGCAGCAGGCGTGCTTTATGGCTGGGCATGATTGAAAAGGTCTCCCCTTGTTCTCAGCTGAGCAGGAACATCTATTTTTCCCTCTTTACACGGATATGAGGAGTGTATGTACACTCAGAGTAAGTTACCTATAAATGCAAACCACCTGCTTTGCTTTCTCTGCTGTCCCAAGCTAGGCTGAAATTCTATTTTTAATGTAGAATACTTCAGTAAATCTTACATATAACTAGAGAATTTCTCTCCCAAGTTTAACAAGTGTAAGCATAC